CGTGATAGAATCGCATCGTGGCATGTGAATCGTGATTCGAATCGAATTGTGGCTTCTTTGCCAATGCCCACCCCTAATTGGATCGTTGGGCAAATGGATGGATTCATGATCCTTTAGATCAGAGGTCACAGATTAGCGGACCACGGTCCGGATCCAGATCCAGACCCATTTTTTTGCTGGCTAAAAAAATTATTATTGAGATTTAAATTTTTTGCAGAATTCAACTTTGAATTATCACCTTTAAAATAACTTTTTAATCATGCAATATTTTTTATGATTAGTTTCATTTAAGTTTTTTTAGAGGGGGGAGGGGTTTTATTTTTAAAACATTTACTGACTTGAATTCTGCTCTATAACTTGATACTTGAATTGTGTCTGGAATATTTGACAGACGTGTTCAGAGCTTTTAATTACACTGCAAAAACAATCTAGAAATATCAATATTTATATATTAAATTAAATGTATTTACTCTTAATTTGAGCAGGTAACTAAGATGATCTGCCCATGGAATGAGTATTTTTACTCTTAAAATAAGATAATTAGATAATATGCACTTGAAATAAGACAAATCAATTGTGTTTTCTTATTTTAAGTGTAAATTGGCAAGAAGTCTTTTTTACCTCCTCATTTCAAGAAAAATTTACTTATTTTAAGAAAAATTTTTTTTTTTTTTCAGTGTAGACCTTTAATTCAGGAACGTATTTTCTGCCATCTGTTTAGTCCAACGTGATCAATCTGCCTCGTTATGAACCGGCGGGTTTGAAAAAGGCTTCAGTGAAGAAGTGGGTATGTGACAGACATGCTGACAGCTACTGTTTGGGTGATTTATTACCTGCAGACCTCAGTAACCAGAAACTCACCTCGATGACTTCCAGGTCATCTTTGCTGCTCTGTGCCGCGAGGCCCTGAACGCAGCTGAACTGCTGTGGCTTGGTGTGGCGCACGCCGGCTACGGAGCTGCTGATGAACTGGCCCGAGTCCAGCGTTCCCGACACCGACTGGACGTCCAGGGTTTTTCCCAGAGGGCCGCAGTCGCTAGAAGAATCCACAACCATGGGCTCCGTGCTGGGGTCGATCTCTGCCTCCATCATGGAGATCTTCAGGATGTCGGACACCGACTGCTTGTCTCCTGAAGACCCGGAACTGGACTCTGGGATCATTTTGGCGGCCGCCTCGCCGCTGCTGAAGACCGGAGTGGGGTGGTGAGAGCCGCCAAAGGTGATCTTGGTGACGGTGGCACTCTGAGTGATGATTGGCTGCTGGGGTAAAGACGTCCAACAGCAAAAAAAAACAACATGTGTGTTTATATATTGCATCAAAGCGACGAGCAACAATTCAATTCAGTGATCACTTGATTCCCCCCCATGGAATCCCCCCCATCCCTCAGTGAGGTCTAGAAGCACAAGATCTATATCCAGCCAATCAGCAAAGAACCTGCTACATGGCTGCACATCTTATTTTGGCATTTGACCAATTAGATGAGCCTTTGAATGATACAGTGGGGCTGAAAAGTATTCAATCAGCCAATGATTGTCCAAGTTCTTCTAATTAGAATAATGAGAGAGGTCTGTTATTATTATCATAGGTACAATTCAACTATGAGAGATGAAATGAGAAAAAAAAAATATCCAGGAAATCACATTGTAGGTTTTTTAAACAATTTCTTTGTAAATTGGTGGAAAATAAGTATTTGGTCACCCACAAACTGCCAAGATTTCTGGCTCTCAGAGATCTGTAACTTCTTCTTTAAGAAGCTCTTCTGTCGTCCAGTGGTTACCTGTATTATTGGCACCTCTTTGCACAATCAGTGGCCGACTTAATACTTTTTGGCCCCACTGTATATTACCTACAGTACAAGTCAAGGAAAAAGGGTAAAAAGCTAATTGAAAAGTTGAAAAGTAAAGTTAAACAGCTAATAAGCCTTGTTAACAATTGTATTTAGGTTTATAAACCAAAAAAATGTAAGTTCCAGTATCAGCATTAATGCCTCTAAGGTTATGTTGGACCAAAAAAATTAAATGTGTTTCTTTCCCCTCCAGAGTGTTTTTCATTAATTTCTTCTACAAGCACTTTTGTTATTTTTCTTAATATATTCGCGAGAGATGGCGTTTCTTGTTATTAAATTGACACTAGGGGTGTAAATCACATCCATCACAACGATTCGATTCAGTATCGATTTCCTGACCCAACGATTCGATTATTTTCGAGACTCAAGAATACACCACGATACGATTCGAATCTATTAATTGGTTCATTTTTTTTTTTTTTTACACTTTTTGACAATGTTTCAAATTTAAAATAAATCAATGAAAGCTGTAATATCGTTATGCATTTTATTTGAGAAACTACAGAAAATAACAGAAGTAGAAAAGTTGCAATCCACCTATTCCTATTAAAACCTCATTCACTGAAAAATAATAATACCTGCGTTATAGATTCTGAAAGGCTTTGCATCAAAAAATACTGCACGAAATCAGTGCAATGCAATCCCTCGGCTCCAGACGCCCCCCCCCTCCACAGACGCTCTGCTGCTCCTCTCCCAGATTGTAGCTGACCACAGACAGCGCCGCAGACAGGA